GCGGCTCCCCGCTTATGCAAATGAAGCCCGGGAAATTCAAATCCCGGGCTTCATTTGCAAGTGCGGTATGCCTACATTACCCTCCTAGTTCGAACTAGTGGGGTAGTGTAGACATACCCTGAGGTTCATTGGATCTTTCAGGAGATTGCTTATGCATATTCCTGTACTGGTGCTTCACATTTAAAAGTCTTGTGGTGGCAGCGGCTCCCCGCTTATGCAAATGAAGCCCGGGAAATTCAAATCCCGGGCTTCATTTGCAAGTGCGGTATGCCTACATTACCCTCCTAGTTCGAACTAGTGGGGTAGTGTAGACATACCCTGAGGTTCATTGGATCTTTCAGGAGATTGCTTATGCATATTCCTGTACTGGTGCTTCACATTTAAAAGTCTTGTGGTGGCAAGAGACATTGTTGTTTGAGTTGCCACCAAACAGGACATTGGAACTGGAAGCAGATGGGATTCAGTAGCAAGAATATTTCTTACTAACACGGTGACAAGAAAGAGATCTTAATTTAAAAACAGAAGTTTTAAGAGAGAGAGCAAGATTCTTGCTCACACTGGAGTCCTCTTTGCACCACTCCAGAGCAAAAAGACAATTTAAAGCTGCCCCAAGTAGAAAGCTGAGGAATCCCCAGGCATGACAAATCCTTTGCTGGCACATTACTGGCATAACTAGATCTCCACCTTCCCCTTCCAGGGTCCACAAAACAGGAGTATGCATGGAGCACAGAGAAATTCAACAGTCCTTGGTGTTAGCTCCCAGGGGAGCATTGTTAAGTCAGCATTTGAAAACTGCTCTAAATGGTGCTAGAAGTTGAAGTGTATCCTGGTTGCTCCAAGGATCTGAAAAGGACGCTATTTTTGTCACTTCTGCTGTGCTGAAGGGTAGCCCATTGCAACGAAGATTCTGGTCCTCCCACCCAGGTTTTAAACTCATTCTGACCCTCACTTATTTTCTACGGGTCAAAGCTGCCTACATTGCACTAATTATGCAATAGGTAACTGAAACTGACAGCGTCTTCAGCAACCCTAGGGAAATAATAAGCCAGATTCTCTTTCCATATAAAACCAATTTTCACCTGTGTAACTCCACTGCCTTCAGTGGAGTCAGACCTGACTTATGATTGTGTAAGAAGAGAATTAGCCTGTCAACTACAGCTAACAGTACACTGGGCACAAGTGTCAGGCATGCAGGCTTTTTTTCCATCTCTCAACCATACCGTGCTGAAGACAGTGTGTAAAAAATAGGCTGCTAATAGAACAGCAGCACACTCTGACAATGGAAATAGAGTTGGCTGCTGGGGCTAACTCAGGTTAGGGCACTGCTGCCTTGGGACCAATAAATAAAGCAGAGCTTGTAGCTACTGGTCTTATAATCCAACTCATCATCTGACTCAGCACAAGACACTCAACATATTTAAAGACTTTCACTGATCTGCTACCCAGCAGCAGGGAAGCACATGGAATGAGAAAGTGGAGACATCAAGGAAATACATTGTGATCGTTTAAGTGTGTTATGCTACTAAAAGGTCAGTCAGATGACTGATGAGTAAATATATCAGTTATTTTATGAAAGTGAAGGAAAGTGTTTTATTAACAGATAAGCCACATAATTCATAGTGTAGCAACTGATCAATATTAGTTTTTATTTCAAATCTATTCTTGTGAGTTCTGTTCATTCAGGATTGCAGCTTAAAGCAACTGCTAATGTTCAACATCATGTGTTCAAAATTTAGCAGTGTAATGGCTATTTCTTTTTCATAGGTGACTACAGTTTATGCCCATCCTGTGACATGTTGTTAAAGAGAATGCAGTCTTACCAATAGCACTAAAAGTGACAAAACTACTCTGAGGTTATCTGACATAATATCCTTTTAGACCATGAGACAGCTGGTAGAAAGGCAGTTTTCTACCTTATGCTGGGAAGCCAATTTATTTCCATTTCCAAATGCTAAAAAGCTTAGTTTTATTGACTGATAAATGTGAGAAGTTTCAGTTGCCCAATTTATATTGCTCACACTTGAAATTTAAATTCAGTTACGAACTTAGCAAAACCTCATACTGCTTCAGATTTCATTGTTTAATTTCCCCCCCAAATTGTATGGCCAATGCAAAGAAACTTGGTAAAACATCAATAATGAATAAATTAAGAGGCTAGGAGGGAATGCAAGTAACTGTAGTTAAGGTTAAGGAGATATTTCTAACCAAGTTTCTATCGGCACAGATATTGTTTTAATAAGTACATTATCATAAACTGCAACTGACTAAAGCAATCGCAAAATATATACATTTCCTTACCTGAATTTCTAATATCATCCCAGCTATCTGATTTTGTTGATTGTCTATGACCTATAAAAAAGGAAATATAACTGCATACCACATTCAAAAAGATGATACGCCCTGAGTTTTAAATAGCATAATTTCTAATTAACCATTCTCTCAAATATCTAAATCTGAAACTTAAATGATGTCTCCGAAGTAAATAAAAAAGGAAAAATACTGCTTAACATTTATAGCAATTTTCATCATGACATTTACTGATTATACAATCACAATTAACTTATTACCAGTTAATTGGTAAAAACTAAGTCTTTCTGTACTTCGTTTGCCAAAAAATGTTAGATTTTTTTATGCAACTGAGAATTAATGGAAAACAAATGCACTGACTCAAGAAACGTGTTGAAGGGAAACCAGAATCAACAATACATGTGAAAAATTGTGTGAGAGAAAAATAAGACAAAAGAAACACAATAGACGATTCTAAGGTTGTGGATGCTGTGAGAGTTCATTTAATCAGTTTCATAGACTGACCTTACTGGCTCTCTCATTCTTTTCTTTGAGGCATTCATTCTCACTCTGAAGCTGTTTTGTGTCCAACATGGGGAGGCGGATACCATCTTCCAGGCATTTTTCTACTTTCTGTTGCAAACTGCAGTTCAGAGATAAGAATGAAAAAAGCAACTAACTAGTCAATTTATTGGAAAGGCAAGCAAACAAAACTGCAGCACGTTCCAGTGGCACCATAACCCACTTCACCTGCTCTCTCACCACACCCACCAAGACTTTACAAGTAGATTCCAGCTTCAGGTGTAAGTAAACTGACAGGTGGGTAAATGGTGTAAATCCTGGATTTCTTAAGGCCACCATGTCACTAATAATAACAGACTAATCTAAACGCAGAGGAAAGTTTTATTACTTATTCAATATAAATTTAAAAGACAACAAATGGTCTGGTAGTTTCTAGATGAACAAAACATATAGATGGTATCATGAGCTTTCGTGGGCAGAGCCCACTTCTTCAGATGACCGGAGTTTTGAGTTTAGATGTGCCCCTGAAGCGTATTCAATGTAGTCCACCTTTGTAGTATTTTGTCATAGTTTAAAAATCCTGGACCAGACTCTTGAGGCATGGCACTGGAGGTGCACCCAGAGGAAGGAAAGCAATGTGTCTTTATAGCACCTTTGTGCTGCCTATTTTATGGGCTGCTGTAGGATCTGAATCAGCTCCAACAATAGTCAGAGCAGCTCTGTGGGTTGTTCTTACAGCAGCTTTACTCAAGTTGCCTAGGGGGTCCCCCTGAGCTCCACTGCTGTCTAGATGTCCCCACAGTGCCAAGCACTATGGTCTATCATTTCTGCCTTCTAACACGGGCATGTGAGGGGGCAGCATAAAGCCAAATGTCAGCCATTACACTGTCTCCATGCCACATGAATGTTCCCAGCACTCTGCAGTTGATTTAAAGCCCCTACGTGCTGCCAAGAGCTTCCCTTCTCAGCAGCTTTCAAAAATAAATGCATTTTATTACAGTGACAATCCTATTTTCCAATACAGAAACCAGAGACCATTTCAAATATTTGTAGGCTTTCAAGTGAGACAAAACCATGAGCACAAATAAAAAGGTGCATCAGCTGTAAGCTGGAAACAATGTGCCTAGTGATCTGCCTGGCTAGATGTCCCAACTGGCTAGCCTTTCATCAGTCATACCCTTTTAGACTGCTACTGGCATGTACATTTAGGCAAGTGGGGGATCCTAAACTAAGGTAACACCCACTCCCATAATAAGAAATTATCCTTTTCATAACCAAATAATCCTTTTCATTTGGCTCACTTTATTACAGAACTCCAATTGGTATTCTTCCTTTAAAAATTACACCTTTAAATAGTATAAAAATGTAACCTACGCCATAATGCCATTGTCTCATTAAATCATCTATCTGGAATTTTTCCATGGAGATTTGCCAAATTTGTTCCTTTATGATTACATAAGGCCAGCAACAGGGCACCAGCTGCAGTTAAAGCTCCCTGTAAATATTCTCCCACTTCAGAACAAACCTCTCCCCACTCGGAGAGGGATGCTGGATTTTTAAATCTTTGGCCCTTCCATGGCTAGTTTACCTTGCAGCCAACTTCTCCTGAGCTTTTCCTACTCTCCAGTACAGGATTATTTAACTTGGAATACTGGGAGTCTCTGTACAATGCTCTTTTGCAGCACTTGCTTATTCTACTCCACTCTTATTGAGCACAACTCCATGATACCAACTGAGAGAGACTGTGGTTTTAGTCAGCCACTCCTCTGTTACCATATCATTGGTAAAATGAAGCAAAGGAAATTCTCATCATGCTTTCTGATGCATTACACTGTCACACTTTGTGTGCTAATATGTTCCTGTGAGAAACATAAAAGTCACTGACACTGTATTGGAGTAAAGTTACAAAGAATTTGATGGCTTAAAACAACAGTCCCAAAGCTCTGGGCAAGTAGTGTTCGTACCTTTGCACTGTGGCAACCAGGTCTTTTTCTTTCTTTTTCTGACACACAAGCTGCAGCTCTTTCTCCCTACATTGTGTTCTAATGTCTCCAAGCTTCTTCTCCAAATCTGTCACTGTTTCTTGGAGCTGCTTGTTCTTCTCTTCTAGAATCTGCAGCTGAGACATTACATCCAAATAGTCAGATACAATGCTAGGTTCTGTATTAACATTACTTACTACATGCCCCAGCTTTACAGTGATCTTCTGAATACACGGTTAGCCTCGTTTTGACTGCTTCCAGCTACAATGTGCTAACCTCTATTTTTATTATCCTTGTTACATTGTTAAACCACCTTTTAACACTTAGCTTACTAACCAGGTAGGGAAAAGTGTGATACACACTGCAACTCAGACAAGAGGAATTGCCAAACCCACCACCAGAATATGTTTGTAGCTGTACCTCTTCTTTTAAGTATTCTTAAAAATCAGATACTTCTCTTTTACCTGCTTACTCTGTCTTTCTACATCATCCAGCGTTGGCAGGTCAGCCAGATATTTTTCTAGGGTTTCAATTCGTCTCTGTCTGTCTTTGTTTTGTTCAGATTCCTTTTGACATTTCTTTTTCAGGCTGTTTATATATCGGTCTCTAGTTTTAAGCTAAAAAGATAATAAAATTACATAATTTATTATGGTAGAAAATAAATCTGTACTAGTCAATCTAGAAATAGATTTTTCATTCTTAAAACTCATCAGATCCTTAGAAGGTATATTTTCAGCCCGAACTAAGGGTTAGCTATTACAGAACATTACACCAAAGGGTTGTTTATTTTGCTTAAATCCAGACCAGTTCTCATCTTTAAATATTTGCATTGTAACAAGCACATATGAAGCTACAGTTGTTTTACTCTAATTTAAATGACCCACTGACTGGGAATTGACAAACATCCTTATTTAACACATTCTTCTTCATGTCAAGTGCCCACAATGTGCTAGGAAGTTTCTCACTATTCTGGCTTGCTCTGCCTGTAAACAGAGATGGGAAGAACAGCAGCAGGAGAACTGGGACAAAACAAGAGGGTGGTCAGACAGCTGAAAGAGTCTGCATTTTGCTGTGAGTCTGTGTGGATCCTTGGAGAGAAATGACAGGCAGTGAATTGTTTCTTGAGATAATGCAAAGCCTGGAGTGAGGCTTCAATAGAAGAGCAATCTACGTGCTGGCTTTTTCCTACTGTTTATCCAGGTGAACAGGATTGGTGTACATTTCTTGTAATAAACATAATGCACTAAGAAAATACTCTGATACCATGCCATCAATTACTCATCCAAACAGAAACCTCTCTACAAGAACCTGGATTTTTGCTACTCAGCCAAAGGGGAAACCGATCTATGTTTGTGGGTTTGAAGTCAGACAGCATTATATCACATAATTTTCAGTTATTTATCTACTATATATTTGAGAGAGCTTGTCTGTCTGTGAGGGAATGAGTCTGTCCATCCATCTGTTTAAGAACTCCTAAAGGATAACAATCAAGACCACCAAATCTTCCTGCTAGCGTCACTTAAAGCAAGGTCACGGATTGACTGTAAAGACAATGGGATGTGCCTGGAATGTGATTATTTCTCATAACATGAAATGGGAAGGCTCTGCTCAAAGGACAGTTATTCTGTATAATGACCCCAGGGAGACAAAAATGAGCCAGAGATAGGGCAGCAGAGGGCAGGGCTGTAAGGGATAGCTATTTACTATATAGGAGAGTTTTCTTCTGTGGCATCTGGCTCAAAGCTGCTGCAGTGAGAGAGGGGACTAGGGTAGCCTCTCTCCCTACAGCAGCCTGTATACTGAACCCTTCAGCCCCAGCTCTACCCAAACCTCCCACCCACAAGTGCCCTTTGGGGGGGGGGGGGGAGGAGGCTGGTGCCCTCCTTCGATTCACACAGGGAAATTGCTGACCTGAGCAATGCTAGGTAAATCTTCTGGTTCTGAATAAATTAGGATAGTTTTCTCTGATCTGTGGCACATTAGCTACTAGAGCATACAGCCCTACTTAAAAAAAATCCATATCATACATACATATTTCAGAGATCTTGGGTAAATACTCTGGGTCACAGCCAGGCCTGCCAACAGCAGGGAAAACGGAGCAACTGCCCTGGGGCCTGGTGATTCAAAAGTGCCTGGGGCTTCCAGCCACCACTGCTGCTACTAGTAGCAGTGGTGGCTGGAGCCCCAAAACCTTTAAATCACTGCTGGAGCACAGTGCAGCATGCTCCAGGCAGCTCAGAGCTAGCACCAGGAAGCTGAGGGTCATGGTGAGGGATGGCTGCCCATGGCCCTGCCCCTTCCATCCAAAGCAACTGCCCCTTTTGGGAGTGCATCTCCCCTTCACCAGGGGCTTGGCAAGTCTGTTGGCTCCCCTGGTCACAACCCACATATGAGACTTAAGGCATGGCCTTAGATAGGGCACTAGACTGGGGAAAAGAGGCTTGGTTCTAGTCTAGCCTCTGCCACTGACCTGCTGGGTGACACTGAGCAAGTCACTTCACATCCCTGTGCCTGTTTCCTCTCCTATCCTTTGTCTTGTTTTTAAGGCAGGGACTGTTTTTCTGCATATGCCCACCAAGCACAGTGGAGTTCCAGTCTAGCAGATGCCCAAAGGTACTGCAGTGGTAATAAAAATAATACCTAGCTCAAACCAGGGGTAGGTAATAAGTGGCCTGTGAGATGGACATAGTTCACCAGGGTTAGCCCCTGGCGGGCCACCAGACACTAACCCTGGCGAACCACGTCGGGCCCATAGGCCGCTTATTGCCCACCCCTGTCTTAAACAGTGCTTTTAATCAGTAGATCTCAAAGTGCTTGCCATTAACAGTGGTTCACTCATAATACTCTTCCTGCATTACCAAGTGTTATTTCAACACTCATTTTATAATATACACATACAATATAAACAGGTTGCCAGGTAGCATCTTCTGAGGACAGATGTCCTAAATGTTTGGGTTTATATTACTTTGTGCAACAGCTACAAGAAATTTTTAAAAAAAATTAATATTCCTATTTGGACTAAACCCTTTAGGAATCTGAGCCAAAAATTTAAATTTGACACAGCCCAACAACTGCATCAGAGGACATCACAATGAAATAGCAGCTTTGTTAAGGCAGATTTACTATGGGAATCTTAATTCACCATCAGTCTGCAAGATAATTTCTTTGCTATGTTTGAGAACCAAGATACGTACACCTGCACATATTCCTGGCACTTGCTTTATTAACAAGGACTTAAAAAAAGACTACTAAAAATCTTCTCATTCAGGATCTGATTTAATGAAAACTCTTCCCCTATTGCTCAGGTCAATAATCTAGCAACTTAAAGGATTAGAAACACTTGTCACCATGAATAAGTGTGAAATGTAGCCTTTTAAAATATGAAATGCAGTTGTTGTTTCTGTGTCTAGCGCTGAACACATCCATACTGCTGAAAATACAAATGCTATGTGTGACACTGGCAACGTCAGGGTCTAATGATAGAGTCTATAAAAATGATTACTAGTTGACAACATCTAAAAAGCTTTTCCAGGGACAGTTTTCTAAACAAGTCAGGATCCTTGGGGGCTACAGAAGGGCTGCATACAAATTAGAGATGTGAGTAGTTGACTATCCGATAAGCCTAAGCTTCCTGGGTAGTTGACTACTCGCCCCCCCCTTCACCCCCGCCCCACACTTTACTGTCTCTGATATAGAGGTAGCAAGGGGCAGAAGGGGGAAGCAGGAGCCGGTGGGGAGCTGGCTTAAAAACAAGTCCTCCCCCCCCCCCATTCCCATAATACTGCCTGTTCCTTCCTCTCCCCCCTTGGGGAGGGGGAGGCTGCCATGAAGCAGCTTCTGCCTGCGGTGGGCCCACACTTGCCACAGGCAGAGGTTGCTTTGGCAGCAGCCCCTGTCCGTAGGGGGTCCCAGGACCCAAAAAAAGCTGTGACTGAGCAAGCCCAGACAGTCCCAGCTTGCACCAGGCCCAGGACCTACCCTCACTGCGCCTCCACAGTTTAAACATAGTAGGAGCTGGGCTGCCTGCTTGCCCACCTCCTACTACATTTAACTTGCAAAGCCGCAGCGTGGGTAGCTCCTGGACCCGGTGCAAGCTGGGACTGAGTGCCTTCCCTTATTGACTAATCGTGTAGTTGATAAAAGTTCTATCAACTACACGATTAGCCAATTACCCACCTCTTCACATCCTTACTATAAATTCTGTTAAGTTTTAAGATTAGTTTTTATATGAATCTCTTAATTATCAGGATTTCAAAATATGACACAGCATTCAGGCTATTCTAAGATAGTTCTTACCAGATCAAACTCAAAAGTATTTGGATGTGCTCCCCAAACCTATGGTCCTCCAAAATGCCTTTGCTGCTCTGACATCTCATCTTCCTTGAGAGGATGCTGGTCTTGTGCTTTCTTCAGTGTGGTTTTGCACAACTATTTGGCCCACTAAAATCTTCCATCATTTTCACGGACTAATACTATGGCCTTCTCCACATCTCCCCTTTTTCTTCTCTTCCCTGTTCCTCTTACACCCACAATCTGAGTTTTCTTTCCTGCAATCACAGTATCCTCTTCCCCTTCTTAGAGGATTGTTTTTCCGGTAAAGGTCAGCCCTCGAAAGTTAGTATTAATGTCACTATTAAAGTGGTCTATGAAACCTTAATTTGGTCCTCTTCTATGTAGCTGGGGTTCCTCCCTTACTAGGTGTTTGTTACAAACTCCTGCCCCTTGTCTTGGAATGGAGAACCCTACCACAGCCTTTAGGGAGGCAGGAATTCACCAAGAAATTATAATCAGCAAATAGTTCCCTTGATGAGGAAAATAAACGTCAGTACCCTCAGGATCAATTCCTAAGTCACTGATCAGGGGCCTCTTCCTCTTTTGGCTCTGACTGATCTTAACATTAGTACAGTTGATGATGCATGGGGGTCATGCAAACAGGCAGCCTACTGGACTAGGCTCTAACCCAGAGTTCAGACCTCCTGTCAGCGGTGTCTCTACAACATGTGTCCTTTCTGGCCCTACAGTCCCTCCCTTCTGCCACTGTAATCCAATCCTACTTTAATTATGTGATCACATCCCCCCACCCCCCCCGGTTTCCCCAGGATCCCTGCCTCATTCAGTCCACAAGCTGAATGGGACTTAGGGAAGAAGTCATGGCTGTGCAGTGAATTAGGCTGCAGGGAGTCTGCCCAACTCCTAGAAAAGCCCAGAATCAGCGCAGGCAGCAGCTTTTCACTCATGGATTGGACACATTCACTCCAGAAGTAAGAATGGCTCAGTTTTTGAGACCTGTCTCTGCTGTATTAGAGACAGCCATTCTAGGCCCAAACTTTCCACGCTATTTAACAGAAATATGTTTGTTTATTCATGTTAATAGGTGCTTCAAATCACATGAATCTTCAGACTGTTTAGCTGAGGTATAGAGATGCAATTTTCCTTTAAAGTGATATGTTGAGCAAGCCTAACTGACCAGCTGAAATAAGAGTCAGCCACAGGCCTTAACTGGTTTCTGAATACTATTTATAACATTCAAGAGGGGTTCAGACCCATTCATGCTTGTCAGGAATAGATACTGTTTCTATTGCAGACATGATATAATGATGTTTTGTAAATATTCTGAGTCGTCAGTTTGTACGTCGTATTTTAAGATTTCTCAGAGGAGCCGATGTCCCTTCTAAGGGAACTGCTCAACTGAAGGTAAGTAAAGAAAACAAAAATTAAGATTTCAACAAACCATAACAAGCCTTTGTGCTTAGCAGCCTACAGCCTTCTCTGCACTAGGGAAATTTAAGAAACAATGTTTCTCTTTAGTTCCATTCGCATTAGCAACCACAAGAGCCACAGTGGAGATGGGTGATTTCAGCATCAGGTCAGATATGCTTGCAGGGAGCAAGCTTAATTAACATGGTGCTGAAGATGGCAGCTGGAAGAGGGAAAGTCATTTACATTCATAGGGTAACACCATTGAAGCTGTCCACAGCTTTTTCATTCCCTCCAGGAGAAGCTAATGCTATTTCATTGAGTTGTTTTTCTGCTCCCTCAGTCAGCATGGTCTCTCCCTGGTTCTGAATGTTCCAGAATTACATTCATATTCACAAGTTACAATCCATGTGGCAGACATGTTATGGTACCTGTGGCAGTAGTTTATAATATCTGATTGGCTGTTATTATTTGTTACTTGTATCACACCTAGAGCTTTACTGCAGGAGGCACTGCACACATGTACAGGATAGCAAGACTGCCCCTGTTCAGAAGTCTTTAAAAAAAAAAAAAAAGCCCCTTTCACTTTGGATGGGGAATTCATGCTGCCACTCAGTTGGAGGTCTGGTACTTTTCTAATGGACACAGTTCACACTGTGATACTCGAGTTTCACACACAGCAACTCCACTTAAAACGAACAGCACATAATACTGGAACAAATGGTGAATTATACCTGGCATGTTTAAACACCAGATTGTAGATTGGCTATAGACATTGCAGGATAATTTAGTGCCTACACATTAGTTGCTGTCTATTGAAAAAATTCCAATACAACATGGCACGCAGGGGACACCTAAACATGAAAACCACCTACTTTCTCTTCCATCTTCTTTTTCTCTTCACTGGATTTGTTTGAAATTTGCTTGAGAAACTCATTGAGCTGCATTTCCTTATTCTCAACTGATGCAAGTTTTTGCTCAAGCTCACAGTGAGACACTGATCTTTCTGAAAATGGAGCTTGCAATGATGTGCTCTCATATTGCTGATGCTTCTGAAAAGAAAAAGTATAGTTGAGTGCAGCTGACATTAGCTTTACATAACCTAGAGAAAAACGCTCTCGCTTAGTGGACTGTAAGATAGGCACTGCATTATTCAAAGAAACTTGTTTATTGAGGATAGGTGACACAGCACAAGCTATGGAAGATAATTGCTCTAGTATTCATTAGGCTGTACCTACCATACAAACCCAGTCATTCCCTGGTTCATAGGCACATATTCATGCTAGCTCTCCTCAAACTACCATAGGTAAAAATAACACAAGCTGGGGAATCACACTTCTAGCTGTAGTGAAGCACACAACTTTACTTTTTTTTTTTTTTTGTACACAGCTAGAGTGGGACTTCATTTTCAGTTGATATCGGATGTCTGAGCTACTTGTAAGCAAATTTCTGGAAGTTATTCTTCTCTTCCACAAAGTATATCTAAATTTGGCAAATCAGACTTTAAAATAAAAAATGACAATGATCTCCATAACATGCTTAAAAGGAGATGGTCAAATTTGCCCCAAAATTTAGAGTTTTTTCTTGTACAGAAAACGAAGATATCTGTATTGTTTCCTACTCAGAACATTTCATTAGAACCCCAGAAAGCAAGCCAGACTACAAAGTAACTATGAACAAACCAGAATATTGTAATGGTACTTAATTGGTAGAAGCTGTTTGAAAGATGGTAAACATTATTATCCCTGTTTTTTAGAGGGAGCAATGGAGGCACCAAAAGGTGGACTGACTTGCCCAAGGTCTCAAAAGTGGCAGAGCCAAGAAAAGAAACTAGGTTTTATATCTGTTACTCTGTCTACTGCACTGAGTCATTTCTATTGTCATTGTCAATGGTGAGAGAAGTGCAAGATGGAGACAGGTAGCAAGAATGATGAAAAAAAGTAAGTTGCATTTTTTAAAGTCTTTCCATTTCAATAATCTACATCAGAATGTATAAGGCTATTTGATTACGTTAAAAGACATAATTTTTGAGCTGACGACATCTCTAACAAAAGCAGACAAAATATTCAGAATCATTTTTAAAATCTTTTCAAAGATTAAACAAGAATTACCGTTAAGAAAAGTAACTCCTGGGAATAGCTACTGAATAAGCCAACCAAAGCAAAAATCCTCTGAATCTTGATTTTAAAATTGCTGTTAATTGTGAAAAGCCTTCGTTAATGTTTTATATAAAGTTTATTATTTACATTATTATATGTACACCTGTGCATAACACCTTTGCGTAACATCCTTTGTATGGATACCACTAACAGACTCCGCCTCAAGCTGAGGATGACTGATAAAGAACTAAGGGGGCCAGGGCATGCATGTGCCAGCAGTGCCATGAGACAGCTGCTGCACACAAACACCATGACCAGACTCTTCTATCAAAAATATCTGATTGACGGCATGGGGATGCACAGCCGCCTGTAGCGGAGCACCCACAGAGACAGCATTTGAAGGAGCATGAGTGGCAGGCAATATTACGGACAACAAACAATTCAAACAGCTTTACTTTTTTGGCCTTCAATGGACTGTGGACATGTCCTCAGGTATTTCAAACTTGTTCCGTTTATATATATTGAACTATTCAAACAAAAATAACTATCCTACCTGTAAATTTGTCACATAGGATTCTTCACAATTCCCAAGATGGCTCAGCCTGGCATGTTGAGCCCGTAATTCATTCTCCCTTATCTTCTGATATAAACTGTTAATTTGTTGCTTCTGCCTGTAATGTATAATATCAGATTATTTTAGGAGTGCAGAGAAAGAGAAAACCATTAATCTTGAAGATTTATACCTATAGCACTATATGCTACAGCAATAAAGACCAAATTTCAATTTACTTTGAGTATGTGCAAGAGAAAACCATGTGCTCCACTTGGCCAAAGTTAGATGTTTCACCATTCTGATCTATAGCAAACCTGGGATTTCCCATCAAATATGAAATCCAGATTTAGGCTAGAATTGGTGACCTACTGGGCTATGAAATTCAGACTTCTGCTAAGATACATGGTAACGTATTTCCCATGGAGCGTGTACAAAATTTACTTTGGAGTGTCTTGAGACTACCATGAATCTGATAAGGAGAGATGTCTTTGATACCAAGAGTCAGAAAAGGGGCGGGGAGAGATGCGAGAAAAGCCACTCCGCGTCTCCCTGGTCTGCTGCGGGGGGGGGGGGGCACAGCTAGTGCGCCCCCCCCCCCCCCCCCAGCAGACCAGGCTTTTCTTGCCGACGCCTGAGGTAGAGCAGTTGGGGTGCTGCTGGGTGGGTCCCGCCGCGCCAAGGGTCGGCGCTACCAGACCAACCCAGCAGCACTCCAGATGCTCTGCCCCAGGCGTGTCCGATTCAGCCGCTGCTGGTCCGGTTCAACAGCGGCTGAATCTGGACGCCTGGGACAGAGCAGCTGGGGCGCTGCTCTACCCCAGGTGTCTCCAAGTCAGCTGCTGCTGAAACTGATCAGTGGCTGATTCCAGGAAGCCCAGGGCCAAGCAGCTCTGCCTTGGGCTTCCTGTAGTCAGCCGCTGGTCAGTTTCACCAGCGGCTGAATCGGGGACACCTGGGGTACAATATGTACCAGTTCCGACTTACGTACAAATTCAACTTAAGAACAAACCTACAGTCCCTATCTTGTACGTAACCCGGGGACTGCCTGTACATATTATGTGTATATTGGGATGTATGGGCAAAACATAAAAAAGGCTTAACTGTAGACTATCTAACTCATACAAATATGTAATTTTCAAAATTTCATATGATGCCATGAGAGTTCTGTTTTAGTCACCTCTCCTTACTAGTCTACACAGAAGAAATGAGTTCAGTTAAAAAGGAACGAGTAACACCGGAAAAAATAAATTTGTTCTAAAAGAATACAATAAAAGCTACAATAAACAACTTCAATTTGGATCTTTATGCACTACTGCATTTCAAACAATAGCTCCAAATCCTGGTATGGAGGGAGAGAATTTGAAAGTAGAGAATATATGATCTTTATTAGCAACAGACCACACATTATCATGAGAGGGATGATGAGGTCTTAAATACTCTTGTGTTCTTGTTCACAGTTATTAAGGATGGGCAGAGCAAAGTTTAGCAAACTCATTTAATATGAAACCTCTTAATCAGAGGTCATAGCAGGATGCTAAAAGGTAAGCAGTTATTATGGTGAATTATATATTTATTAGAACATTTTCACCAAGTTTGATTTAATTATGTAACTATCACTCAACTGTTAAAAGTGACAGTTGCTTTAAATTTTGCTTTCCTGAACAAATACTAAACAGTTGAAATCAGCATTTAAAAATACTACTGAATTTCAAAGTACATCACTTTTTTTAAAACAACAGTCTTCTTCCCATCCTAATCCTCACAGGAAAATAAAGTGAGCCAAATTAATCCCTGGTGTGAATGATTATAATAGATGGAATTCATCTCAATACTGTCCTGTTTGGTTTTCAAAGTGTAATTAGAATTTATCTGCCATTTTAAAACGTTGTCAACAAAAGACATAATGGAAACAGTTCCGTATAATTCTTATTCAGTTGTATTCCTGAAGATGAACTCTCCCACAGAAAACTAACTTCAGGTCATAATAAAATAAAACTATAAAAACTGACAGTTATTAATCAACAAAGAATGAAAAATAAACACTATAATGAATATATTCACTAGAGGCAGTCCCCGACTTACGCGGATCCGACTTATGTCGGATCCGCACTTACGAACGGGGCTTTCTCGCCCCGGAGGTCGAGGTGGCGGATTGCTGCCTGCGAG